CCCCAAAACCCCAAAACCCCAAAACCCCAAAACCCCTGAAATTAACTCTGTGGCTGAGAATATTATAAAAATGATGCACAACTATGGTAAGAATTTATTTTAACAAGGTTTGAAGGATTTTAAACATAATAACACTAATTTTTACCTTGAATAATATCTTTGGGATGATTTAGAAGAATGGGTGTTGACCTTATAGTTAACCGTAGATTTTTCTCAAGAAAGACACCAGTGCTGTCTTTTAGAGAACTAAATCTGATGGAAGAGATTTGACAAGTACTTGAGAAGCATCATATCAGAGCTCCATCTTCTATTCAATCTTTGGCTATTCCTGAGCTTTTGAAAGGAAAATCTGCTTTGCTAACTGCGCAGACTGGAACTGGAAAAACATTAGCTTATGCCACTCCAATTATTCACATGCTTAAAATGCAAGAGTTGCAGGCTCAGATCAGACTGACTGTGCCTCACAGACCTCGTACCATTGTCATTGTGCCAAATAGGGAACTAGCTCAACAGGCGGAGGAAGTTTTCCGAATGTTTATGTACGATGTTCCTCTAAGATTCTATGCTGCTTTTGCTGGAACCAAACTTTCTACCGAATTTAAAAAGATTCAGGAAGGAATTGATTGCTTAATCACAACTCCTGACAGATTAGTCAGACATAGAGATGCCAAGAAGATCTTTCTCTCTAATTGATCTTCGGTAGTCATCGATGAATGAGATACGCTACTTGATGCAGGAATGGGCGATTTTATCACAAATTTAATCACTCCTCTGGTAAAGACTCCTAACTCTCAAGAGATGCAGTATGTTCATGAGAAGAAGGTTGACCATTCTACTCAGAGGCAGATTGTGTTTTGCTCAGCAACAATTACAAAACAGATGGAAAGTTTAGTAAGTAAATTTTGGATCCCTGGAGACAAAAAGTTCGTCCATCTTGTCGAGAAAAATACTCATATGAACCTTACAAACCTCGATCATGAATTTATCAAGCTTAGTGAACGGGATAAGTATGAGCCATTGAGACATGTTCTCAAGGAATTCCAGAGTTTTATAAGAACAGAGAATACTGCAGGGATGATATTCTGCAATTCAATCCAGTCAGCACGATCAGCAGAGCATACCCTTCGATCATTCGGGTTTAAAGTCTCCTCTCTTCATGGTGATATACCTCCAATGATGAGGAATAAATATGTAGCAGATTTTAGAAACAGAAAAACTGATTTGTTAGTAGCTACAGATCTTGGATCAAGAGGACTAGATTTCCCATTTGTTAGTCATGTTTTCAACCTTGATTTTCCTAAAACAGTATCAGACTACATTCATAGAGCAGGAAGGGCAGGTAGAGCAGGAAAAGAGGGGTACGTAAAATCTTTCTATCGTAAATTCGATGAGCCCATTATCGATCAAATGAGAAGGTCTCATGAAGATTCAATTCCAATGAAAATCGGTGGATCTTCATTCACTTACAGAAAAACTTTTGAAAGGCCTGTAGTTGGTGGAAAAATTAAACCTTTACCAGTCTCTCAACCAGGACGGAGGAAGTCTCGCTCTGATCCTCTTGCTGCTACTTCTAATCTTCTAATCAAGACTTACGATAACCCCACAGAAACACAGCCAAAGAAGAGAAGAGTAGCTCATTACCAAAGGAAATCAAGAAATGCAGGAAGGCCTGAAAGAGAATCCATTGTCAAGATTGAAAAGGAGAATAAAAAATTAGGGAAGAAGGTTAGCATCTCTCAAAGAAGAAAGAACAGAAATTACATCCCTCGCAGCAGAAAGTTCTAAATATCTTCAATAATTTATTGAATTTAGGGGTTTTGGGGTTTTGGGGTTTTGGGGTTTTGGGGTTTTGGGG